TAAAGACCAGTACAAAGACCAGTATAAACCAGTACAAACTCTTCTTCCTGCAGACTGGTTGGAGGCGGAGCGGAGCTACAAGGAGGCTCTGGTTTTATGTCCCGTTTGTTTCAGCAGAGAGAGAGCCATCCTGTTCTCCAACAGAGCTGCTGCAAGACTGCACCTGGTAACAGCTAGCAGCATGCTAACCACATGCTAACACTGAAGCTAGCAGCATGCTAACAACATGCTAACACTGAAGCTAACATTAGGCTAACACTGAAGCTAACATTAGGCTAACACTAAAGCAAACATTATGCTAACAACATGCTAACACTGAAGCTAACATTATGCTAACAACATGCTAACACTGAAGCTAACGGTGTCTCTGTTTCAGGGTCTGAAGGATCTGGCGATCTCAGACTGCACCAGAGGTGAGTGATGACATCATTGTGTACCTGTACAGCACAGGGTCACTGGCTGATCTGTGTATTGATTGGTTGTCTGGTTGCCGTAGCGATAGAGCTGAATCCAGACTACGTGCGGGCATTGCTGAGGAGGGCGGAGCTTTACGAGCAGACGGAGAAGCTGGACGAGGCTCTGGAGGACTACAAGAAGGTTCTGGAGCGAGACCCAAACCAGACCACTGCCAGACATGCCTGCATGGTGAGTCCGGACCTCTGGGACCAGAACCAGAACGGTCTGTTAGCATTCACCACCACTCACTGTCAGTCCGACTCGGCTTCATCTGAATATGCTTCGCGCTGAGATATAATCAGAGGGGCGTTATTGTTACTAATATATGAACCAGATAGACAAGACTGACCTCTGCCCTGTATCTACGGCACTGACCTCTGCCCTGTATCTACAGTACTGACCTCTGCCCTGTATCTACAGTACTGACCTCTGCCCTGTATCCACTGTACTGACCTCTGCCCTGTATCTACGTTAAGAAGAAGGGGGTTGTCACAGGGTTGACACTTTGTCCCGACTCCCGAGAGATTTAATCTGGTAATGAAAACAAACTACCGAATGTAGTATTTAAGATGTGGGAACCCTCTGCTGCCTATCAAATGTCTCCATGGCAACAGTATACTTCCTGTTTACATCCCAAAATAAATAAATAATTAATATGAGCTTCATGTTGAACTGTTGAGATATCTTTATATTTTTAATCTGTCTGTCTACCTTCTGTCTGTCAGAGGTTGCCTCAGCAGATTCAGGAGAGAAATGAGAAGTTGAAGGAGGAGATGATGAGTATGTACTGCACCTGAACACACCACCTTAAAGGAACAGCACACTATTAATAACTGATCAATAATCAAGTCAGATATATTCATACATCAGATCAGATTTGTTGCAGTATTTTCACAATAAAAGCACACAGTTATTTCATGTCAAGCGATCATTTCAAACACTTCCTGTCTCTGTGACCTTTGACCCCTCCGCAGGTAAACTGAAGGACCTGGGGAACCTGGTCCTGAGACCTTTCGGACTTTCTACCAACAACTTCCAGGTGAACCAGGACGCCGACACCGGCTCCTACTCCATCAACTTCATCCAGAACCCAAACAACAACAACAGATGACATCACTGCGGTACGGCGTGACATCACGGCCAGTACAGTCACCTGTAGATTTACCTGTGTGTGTTCAGGAAAATAAACAAATCGATTTGCTGATTGATTCGTTGCCTGTTTGTTGGTATCCATGGTAACCTGTGCTGCAGGTCAGAGGACCAATCAGATTGATGGAAACATATGGACGTCAAAGATCAATAGATATTCTTATCGATCAGTTTGTGTTCAGGCTTTCAGGTGTTTGTCACTAAAGTGTATTTAAATAAAGTTCATTTGAATCTCGACAGAAACATGTAAACAATGTTCATCCTGATCATCACTTGCTGTTTATCAGTTTTTACTCTGCTGCTGTCGATCAATAAAGTCGATCAGAGGAAAGCCTGCTATCTCCAAAAGAACAGTGTCACTGTCAATCAGTCTTTATTGATGTGTATTGATTGTTTATCTGAACACCTGGACCAGCAGGTGGCAGTAGAGTCCAGATCAATACAGTAATCAATACAGGTGGCAGTAGAGTCCAGATCAATATAGTGATCAATGAATGATAACAGGAAACAGACTGAAGGTTCAACATTTTAATATGAACAAACACTAAACACATACATTGATTATAGATGATCGGTGCGTGTATCACTGAGTTATTGATTACAGATGACCGATCACTGAGCTCTCCTGGACAGCAGCATCTCTCTGATGTTGTCTTCTGCTTCTTTCACGCTGCGTTCAAGGTACACCTTCTTCTGCTGGAAATCACATAACACACAGTCAGACCACTGACTCACCTGGACAGGTAGCGCTCACAC